TCTCCTGCCTCAGCCTCCTGAGTAGCTGGGATTACAGGCACGTGCCACCATGCCCAGCTAATTTTTTGTATTTTTAGTAGAGACGGGGTTTCACCACGTTGACCAGGATGGTCTCGATCTCTTGACCTCGTGATCCACCCGCCTTGGCCTCCCAAAGTGCTGGGATTACAGGCTTGAGCCACCGCGCCCGGCCCAACTTTTTTTTTTTTTAATTAGCCAAGCGTGGTGTCGCATGCCTGTGTTCCCAGCTATTTGGGAGGCTGAGGTGGGAGGATCACTTTAGCCAGGGAGGTCAGGGTTGCAGTGAGCCATGATCGCACCACTGCACTCCAGCCTGGTTGAGAGAGCAAGTCCCTGTCTCAAAACAAAACAAAAGAAGGCAAAGCCCTGGGCCATTTGCTCTCCTTTAGGAGGGATCTCGGGTCCAGGTGTAGGCCCTGAGAGGCGTCATGGCCTCGTATTCAGAGAACAGGTGAAGCCATCTAGAGTCAGTTGGTAGAGTCCTAGTATTCTCATGCTGATTTCCAGCCCATTCCCAAGTCCGCCCTTGGCTCTCACTATTGGTTTTTTTGTCCCCTATCCCCCTTCACAGGACCCATCCTGCCCTTGAGGGCAGAGATCTAAGTCCTCTTTCATGTTCCATGGCTTGGAAGTGGTGGAAGTTCAGTCAGTTTGATGAGATTTCTTCCCCTTCCTCCTGTCCCTGACCCCATTCACTATTTTGATCTCTCTGTTCTGTATTCTCCTCTGCCCTCCCCGCTTCCACGCCACTCTCTGCTCGGTCCCTTTCCTCTTTCTCTTTCTTGTTGGATATGTTTGTCCCTTCCTGTGTGTCTGTCTCTGTCTCTCAGTTCCTTAGAGGCAGCCCGTTTTGTGGAAAGGGTCTTAAACTGGGAAACCTGGCTCTGTCTCTAGTCCTGGCTTCACCTTGATCAGGTCGCTCACCTCTCTGGGCCCAGATTCCTCCTCTGTAGTGTGCCTGTTGAACTGCTGATGGGTCCACACTGGGGTGGTACCCCCCGCTCACCCACCCACCCTCCCAGGGACAAGTGAAAATGGCATGAGCCATTTCTGTAGTTGGCACAATGCCTGGGGCTGCCATTCCCATTCAGTGGGCAGGGGCCAGGGATGCTATACCTGCAATGCTCGAGAAGATTCCACCCCAAATTCCAATGGCGTTCTCATGCAGAAACACTGGTAGACAGTCTCCTAGGGCTCCAGCAATGCATTCAGTGACTCTGTGATTTTGTTTCTCCCTGTACCTCCCTTGCTTTTACTCCCTAAGGGAGTGAAAGCTGTTTCTCTTTCATGCTTCCTGCCTCTCTGTCACAAGAGACCAGATAGAGCTCCTTTTGGGGGTGGGGGGAACGGATAGGAACAATGGAAGAGTCACTCTGGCCTTTGGGACCGTTCCTGTGGTCCTTCTCCGTTTCAGCTGCTGCACTGCCCAGCAGCGGCCTGGTACATCCCCCAGGTAGTGCGTATAGAGCTCGTAATAGCCTATAATAGAGTCTCATGGATATTACATGCTTCCAAATCCCACATTATCTGGTTGGGGGGATTAAAGAGAAGATTGGGAGGGGGTAGGGACACAGTAGGCCCTGGGGCGGGTGTCAGTACACAGAGCCGCGCAGCGTGCCCAATCCATTTGCCACGGCCCCTGCCTACCCAGCATTCACCACCAGCGAGATAGCAACGAGAGCTCTGCCTCTGCAACGCTCAGCAGAGGAAAGATGCCGTGGAGATCCCTGCTCTCAGCAGACCGTCTTTGTTCTGTGGCCCCGAAAAGAACTTCAGATTCGTTCAGAGGTAATGAAAACTTGCCTACTAAACTTTTTTTTCCCAAGATGGAGTCTTACTCTGTTACCCAGGCTGGAGTGCAGTGGTGCGATCTCAGCTCACTGTAACCTCCGCACCCCAAGTTTAAGCAATTGTCCTGCCTCAGCCTCCGGAGCAGCTGGAATTACAGGTGCGCACCACTACCCCCAGCTAATTTTTGTATTTTCTTTTAGTAGATACAGGGTTTCACCATGTTGGCCATGCTGGACTCGAACTCCTGACTTTGTGATCCACCTGCCTTGGCCTCCCAAAGTGCTGGGATTACAGACGTGAGCCACTGCACCTGGCCAAACATTTTTTGTTTTAATGGAGATAGGGTCTCACTCTATCACCCAGGCTGGAGTGCAGTGGCACGTTCACAGCTCACTGCAGCCGTGAGTGAGCTCCTCCTGCCTTGGCCCTCCAAGTATCTAGGACTACAGGCGCATGCCACCACACTTGGCTAATTTTGTGTGTGTGTGGACATAGGGGTCTCGCTGTGTTGCACAGGCCTGTCTCAAACTCCTGGCCTCAAGCAATCCTCCTGCCTTGGCCTCCCAAACATCTGGGACTACAGGCATGAGGCACCACAGTTGGCTAATTGTTTGTGTTTTGTCAACACAAGGGTCACTTGCTATGTTGCCCAGGCCTGTCTCAAACTCCTGTCTTGACCTCCCAAAAGTGCTAGGATTACAAGCATGCTCCCCTGTGCTCAGCCCTAGTAAACTTCTTAGTCAACAAATAAGTATGAAGTCACATACGTATATTTCCTTGAGCCCCTTTTACCCGATGGGGTCCCGGCTGGGTGGGATTCTGGGAGACATCTGGCTTAAACCACACCAAAGCAGATGTAATGTGAGATCCCTGACCCGGAAATTCCAGAGCAGCATATTCTAACCTCTGCCTGCTATCCCAGCCTTGGCCTCTCCTACGCGCTGAGATTTCCTTTCCCTTTTTCCATCGTTTCTTCCTCCTTTTCTTCCTCCTTCTTTCCTTGAAATAACACCTCTTACGGGAATGTACTGTATGGGAAAAATGAACGCATGCCAAGACAATGGGCAAATCTGTAGAATTATGAAATGCTGAGTGATGTTCTAATTCCCAAGCCATCCTGTGGTGGATGAAGCGGGAGCTCCCCATTCCTGGGAGTAATCAGCGAGCTGATTCCGCCGGTGAATGTAATTGTGCCGATTGTAATCATTTTGCTCCAGCTCTCTGCCCCTGTGACATTTATTTCTTAGCCCAGATATTGATCTAACAGTGGGAAATTTTCCATCTGAATGTGTGATGCCGGACCCTCCCCTAGTCCGAAGATGTGTTTGGGAAATTCTCATTTTCCGTGGATCACAGCTGAGCTATTTGGCCTGAGGGAAACCGTGTGCTGCTGGAGAAATGCCTTGGATTGGAGAGAGATTTTTGACCATTATGAGCAAATCGGAAATAAATGTAAAACACTGCCTGGAAATGCAAAGGCCTGTCATTATGGGAGATAGGTGAGAGGCTCCTATGGGAAATGCTTAGAGAATTGGAAACCAGTCAATCAAAACCGGGCTTGGAGAATGGGCCTTTTCCCCCCAGTATGAAGATAGATGACTTCCATGGGCAGATTGAAAATCATTTAAGTGCTTATTTTCTTAATGGCTTTTTCTAGATCCCAACAAATAGACTGCTCATTCTGCATCAATTTCTCACCCCTGTGCTCGTGGCCTCCCTGTCTTCTTTTTTCTGCTTAGACCTGGGTTGCAAAGTTTGGGAAAGAGAAGGGTAAGAAGAGACAAGGGCAACTGCAGGATGAAAAATGACCAGGAAATGAATGGTCAGGACTAGCTACAAAAAAGGACTTAAAGCCAGCGCTTGGATTGCCAGGGAACTCTAGAAAAGAGTACAGCTCTCAGAATGCCCATCAGCTGAGTCAAGAGCATTTGCTATGCACTATTCCTTCCTCCAGACCTAGCTTCATCCAGCACTAGGAAGAGGTAATTGAAGATTCCTCCCAAGGGCCGTGTTGACTCCTCTATGGCCCGACTAATGCCTCAGATGTGATGTAGGGAGTTGGTGATCAGGGATTTCCACCAGTTACTATGGAGGAGAGGGTGCAGGATGGATCGGGGAGGATTTGGGAGGGGAGACTGCTCTCCCTGCACCTGTCATCTCCCATCCCAAGCTCCAACTCTCCTCTCTCTGGGTTAAAAATGCCAGGCAAGCCTGCTCTGAGTCACCTTGGGGAAGGGATTCGAATGGGGACTTGGTAATGGCTGCTGTCTTTGTTGGTTTTGGAGGAGCTCTTGGCTTTTCATCTTCTGCTCAGTGGGCCGAGATGGAATTGGTTAACAAAGACTGCTCCAGGGAGGGGATGTGGCTGACAAGCCAGACACTTCGCAGACACAAGAAGCAGCAGCTGCAGAGGGGGCCACCAGGTTCTGCCAGCAGCTGTACTGCCTACGGCTGTGATCTTGTCTGATATTGTCAGCTAAGCAGGGGCAGCCCGGGTCAGGAGCTAGATAGTAGGACTCAAAGGGAAAAGGCAGGCAGGAAAGAGACGGGCCAGGGAGCTGGGTTTTGCTGTTGGAATCAGCGTCCTGGCTGTACACATCACAAAAGATTCAGACCTTGTGATCTGACACATGTGTCATTGTCTGTTCCCAGAATATATGCAAATGTACCAAACCCACCCATGTTTAGTATGCCGCTGTCATAGGAAGCAGCTGAACAGAATGAAAAGCACTGGACAGCCACCTGAACTGCCAACTCCTAAAGGTTTTTTTGTTTGGTTGTTTAATCATCATCAAATAGCATTAAGTATGCTCATATCTATCAGTAGTATTATGGTATTGTGCTGGTTCTTCTAGAAGAACCTGGGGAGACATAAGAACCACACCGATGATGAATCATTTAGGAAACCAGAATCAGTAAAAGCTAAAGGAATTAAAATGGCTTTTAGCCCAAAGGTAGTAGAGCTGTATTTAGATACCATTCTGAGACTGGGAAATATCTGTTCTATGCCTCTGCTAAGTAAAAGAACCAAACAAATTGGTGTTCCTGAGAACATTAGCCTAGCCATAAGAAAGGACTTTTAATAATAGAATAATAACAACAATGGTAAGAATACTTAGCACTCTATAACACTTTAGAGGTTTTTAAAGCATATTCACATTACCTTTCATTTTTCATAACTGGGGATGTGAGACATCGAAATGGTCTTTTAAGAGGTGCTGTGATATTTCCCTGTCTTTAAATGCACGGTAGCAGTCTTTTGACCTGGGATGATTTAGGCATGAACTTATTTGGAGACAGAAGTGGACAAGTTAACCAGTTTGAAGTATCTGCCAGGCCCAGGGCCAGCAAGCTGCCACTCGGGGACCAAATCTGGCCTTCTGCCTGTTTTTATCTGGTCCATCAGTCGAGATGGTTTTTAAAATTTTAAATTGTTGACTTTTTTTAATCCAAAGAAGAATAATGTAGAGTGACACCTGAAAATTATATGAAGTTCAAATTTCAGTGTCTATAAATAAAGTTTTATTAGAATACATCCAGGCTCACTTATTTACATCTTGCTTTCACGCTGCAGTGGCAGAGCTGGATAATTGTAACAGAGACCACATGGCCTGCAAAGCCTAAGATACTTACTAGGTGGCCATTTACAGAAAAAGCTGGCCAACCTCTATTCTAAACTTAAGAGTATCATAACTCTGTGATTTGCATTAATGGGATAAGACGCTAAGTGTCTGCCAGCAATCCTCTCATGAGGTTGTGGGGAGAACGGAATGAGTTATAGGTATCAGATACTTAGAACAGATCCTAGTTTCTTTTCTTTTTCTCTTTTTTTGAGACAGAGTCTCACTCTGTCACCCAGGCTGGAGTACGGTGACACAATCTCGGCTCACTGCAACCTCTACCTCCTGGGTTCAAGTGATTCTTCTGCCTCAGCCTCCCTAATAGCGGGATTACAGGTGTCTGACACCATGCCTGGTTAATTTTTGTATTTTTAGTAGGGGTTTCACCATTTTGGCCAGTCTGGTTTTGAACCCCTGACCTCAGGTAACCCACCTGCCTCAGTTTCCCAAAGTGCTGGGATTATAGGCGTAAGCCACCGCGCCCAGTGTAGTTTCTTACTGTAAACACTAAATATTGTGGTGAAGAGGAGGAGGAAGATGGTTTTCCAGGTGCTGTTCTAAGCCCATTACCTCACACCAGCACCACGACACAGGTATTAGTATCCCCACTTCACAGATGAAAAATCTGTGTCTCACCAGAGGTTCAACAGCGCATTCCAAACCACACAGCTGAATGTGTCAGAGCTGAGATTTAGAGCCAGGCCCAGTTCCAAAGCCCTTCCAAATTCCTGTCCTCCTGCCAAAGAGGAGGACTGTGTGCTTCTGAGACTGTCCTACCCAAGGGTCCCTCTCCCTCTTTCCTGCCACCACTCCCCTTGGTGTCTGTGGCGATTGCATTCATCTGTCTCCTGCCTTTCTTCCCCCATCGCTCAATGGAACAGGATGCAGCTGACCCAGAATGGATGGAAAGGACTGCCCCTTATAGAAAGGTGCTAGACTCTGGGCCAAGTATTTCACAAAAGTCTCATTTAATCCTCACAGAGCCCTATGAGAAAAACTGAGGCACAGAGAAGTCAAGAAACTTCCAAGATCACATAGCTGGTGAGGAGTGGAACACAAAGTCACACCTAAGCCTGTCTCACTCCAGATTCTTCTCCCTCAGAGATTCCAGACACTCCAACATCTCTTAGTTGTCTTATTGTGTGCTGGGAAGAAGAGTGCCCTCCAAGGCTCAAGGCGATGCTTTTAACAAAAGATGCTCAGCAGAATTCACAGACATCTTTTTTTTTTTTTTTTTTGAGACGGAGTTTCGCTCTTGTTACCCAGGCTGGAGTGCAGTGGCGCGATCTCGGCTCACCGCAAGCTCCGCCTCCTGGGTTCAGGCAATTCTCCTGCCTCAGCCTCCTGAGTAGCTGGGATTACAGGCACGGGCCACCATGCCCAGCTAATTTTTTGTAGTTTTAGTAGAGACGGGGTTTCACCATGTTGATCAGGATGGTCTCGATCTCTTGACCTCGTGATCCACCCGCCTCGGCCTCCCAAAGTGCTGGGATTACAGGCTTGAGCCACCGCGCCCGGCCCTAATTCACAGACATCTGACAGAGAAGGGTCCCTCTGCCAGGCCACCCCCCAGCAAGACATGCTCCTTTATTTGGGTGCTGGGTGCATTAGCCGCCTCTGAATAAATCTATAATTAGCTGCCCCGGCTGTATTTGCATAATGGATTTCACTTTGTTCTTAAGTTAATGTTGTTTTTGCAACAGAACAGAAACCTCTTGGTTCCTGGCCATTAAAAAGACTGCCACCCTATAGGGTAGAGCCAGGTGGCAGTAAAGCCAGAGTTTGTTGGAAGTTCAGTGAAGAGTCACAGAGGAGGTGGGAGGGAAGGCGGGGTGGTTAAAGTTCCCACTGCGTCGCAGAGTATTGACTTTCTTTCCCACGAGTATGTGAAAGGTCAAGGTTTGGAGAGAGCCATGAAGGCAGCCAAGAAAGAGGTGCATGCTCACTCCCTGCACCTGTAGTACACACTGCAGCAGATTTCCACCCCACTCAGGGCATCTGCCACATGGTGCCTTGCCAGCAGGCTTCCCAGTACTGCTTCTGCTAGCCTTGGACACGTGGCCTGAACCCAGTCCTGCAACTCACAGCCTGGCCAGAGTCAGCTGGACCTGTGGGGTGACCATCATGACAGCAGAACTCTCCCATGCGTCTGGTACTTCCTGAGCCCTTGTGTCCCTCCCATTGCATTCCCAATGTTCCATGGTACTGCCCCTTCACACACTACAAGCACCTGCAGGTGCGGAGCCCCATGATTCAAGGATTCCTCCCGCAGCCCACCTGTGCAGTTGGGTTCCAGCCTCTTGCTCCAGTTGGGCCCATATCTGATAGCACTCATGCATCATCCTGGTGTAAAAGTCTTGCAGGTATGCCTTTCGGATTATCCGGCTTTGTCCATGGGAGCTTCCTCGGGAATGTGGTAGAAAGAACTGGAAGTGGAAAACAAGAGAGATGAAGGAAGCCATCACCCTCACACCCAACGTGTGCTGTCAACCAGGAGTCATTTATCCTTCAAATATTTCCACACAATCCGGGGAAGGATTACGCATAGGAAGATCATTTGAGCCTGGGAATTCGAGACCAGCTTGGGCAATATAGCAAGATCCCGTCTCCTCAAAAATTTAAAAACTAGCCAGGTGTGGTGGCATTTTTAATCCCAGTGGCTTGGGAGGCTGAGGTAGGAGGACTGACTGAGCCCAGGAGTTTGAGGCTGCAGTGAACTATGATTGCACAACTGCACCCAGCCTGGCCATAGAGTGAGATCCTGTCTCAAAAAAAAAAAAAAAAAAATCCATACAATCTTTCCAAATTCTCTCTTTATGACCAATTTACCGACTTGACAATCAAAATAGAAGTTGTTCAATAGCCCTAACTTGGGCTTCCTTTTTGCTAACATTGTTCACATCCGGAAGTTTCTTTGTTAGCTAGTCTTCAACCATCCTGCTGCAATCTCACCTCACTTCAATTCATAAGGAAGCAAAATTAGAAAAAACCTTCCAGATCATGCTAGTCTCACCCCTTCATTTTACGAACAAGGGAATTGATGGTGACTTTATTTCTCTGTGGCTACAGATCACTCAGCAACAATGAGTTTCCTGAGATGATGAACCAGGAATCCCTTGGGCTTTGAGAAAACTGATAGAGAAATGAAAAAGGTTTCTAACTACTCTGGCTCATTACCAAGAAGAGCAAACCATAGCCAGCCTGGGTAGCTGCAGGCAGAATGGACGGGAGAGCCCAGTGCTGTGGGACGCTCTGCTGACAGCTGGGCGGCCCTGTCCTCGAAGGACCCTGCAGACACAGCGCCCACCCACACATGCAGCGGTCACTGCAGACTGCACTGCGTAGTGCGAAAAACAAGACCTCGGTCTCACTGATCATGTATCAAACGAGGAGGCTGCTATTATCTGGAGGTGGCAGAAAAAAACAGAAGCTTCTAGGCCAGGAATATGCAGGGCAGAATCCTACCTCTTAGGCTGATAAATCAACCTTTGCCTCTAGGCAAAATTACCTTTACTTTAGTTTACCCAGAACCAATTATTTTTCTGGGTCGGATCAACCCTTTGGGCACAGAAGAGACAGCATAGCGAGAACGAAAAGAACAGGGCCTGGGACGCTTGGTCAAGGGCAAGAACTAGGAGGCAGGAGGAAGAGAAAATATGCCTAGATGAGGGTGTGAGGGATGTGAAATTTCTTTGAATTGTCATGAAACACACTGGGCAGCTAAGATGCAAATTACACAGAATTTTTGATGATTCAGGCCCTTTGGCCTTGCCCTGCAGCCTGCTGGCTCTGGAAACCCCTCTACAGGGAAGGTGGGTAGGACAGTCCTTAAGGTCAGGGGTGCAGAAGGGACACAGTACCTGCTCCAGCAGCAGGACCCTCTTCCTGTGTTTGGCCAGGTGGTATGCAGTGAAGCAGCCCTGGATGCCTGCCCCAATCACAATGGCGTCATAGAGATCTTTCTGAGCTGCCATGATGCCCACTCACGCCACAGCCACAGAGCCTCAAAGGCAAAGGCAAGCAAAGGCAACCTCCCGGCTGAAGGACGAGGATAAAAGCAAAGTCCAGCCTGGCCAGTGTTCCCACAATGCCCTGGGGCCGTGTCCTCCCCATTCCCGCCCTGCCAAGCCTGGCCCAGGGCTCAGCCTCCCTTCTCCTGCAGAGCAGAGCTGGGTAGTCTGATTTGTGAGGTTTAGCCCAGCTCAGCTGCCAGCCTCACCCTTGTATCCCTGTGGCTTTCTATTCTTGGCTCAATTATTGTCATGCAAATGGCTCCTTCCTTTGCCACCTTCCTGTCTCATTATGATCTTTGTCTCAGGACATCGGCCCTGGAATTTCAATGCCTCCTAGACCATACTGGGCACCGGGAATGCTGCCTCCCCCTGCTGGTTTCCCCTCTTCAGCCTGATTTCCTTTAGAGATCCTAGAGGGCCCGGCTAAGAACTTGGCATGATGCCCAGGGAAAGGCCCACCTCCCTGGTGGGTGGTGAGGTCAGGGAGTAGAAGCAGAGGCCAATTGGGAGGGCAGTTTTGTGATTATGAAATTATTCCCAGCATGTTTTACTTTCATTTTGAAGAAAGGAGAAGAAATGATCCTGAAAAGATGGAAAGGACAGAGTGAGAGGAGGAGCCCTCTCCTCAGGCACAGAGAGGGGACCAGGCGCCAGCCCAGTGCCTGGAGGGGCCCCGTGTTGAGCATCTCTCTGTGCCAGGCAGTGCGCCTAGTAAGTACTAATACTGGCATTCAGGACAAAGCCAAGTTGGGTAGGGCCTGATTCTTACACAGTTGGAGGGGCCTCTTTGAGCAAAAGGAAAAAGGAGAATTATTAATACAAAATTAGATGCCCGGATGTGGAAGAAACTGTTCAGTTAAGGAGCCCCATGGTTGAAGTTTCATTTTTTTCATGGTAAATCTGCCTCTGCATGCGATATCTCATTTACTCCTCCTAGCCCTAGGAGTTTTTGTATTGTGTTTTGTTTTGTTTTGTTTTGAGACAGGATCTCCAGGATCTCACTGTCACGCAGGCTAGGAGTGCAGTGACACGATCTCTGCTCACTGTATCTGCCACTTCCTGGGCTCAAGGGATCCTCCCACCTCAGCCCCCTGAGTAGCTGAACTACAAGCACACGCCACTATGAGCGGCCAATTTTGTTTATTTTCTGTAGAGACAAGGGATCACTGTGTGTCCAGGCTGGACTTGAACTCCTCTACTCATCTAATCCTCCCACCTCGGCCTCCCAAAATGCTGAGATTACAGGCATGAGACACCGCACCTGGTTTAGGAGTATTTTTATCCCCACTTTTGACACATTAAGGATGGCGTCAAATTCTTTATCACTCCTCCCATCATAGACTCCGTGACGGCTTCACCAATAAACTATGGCAAAAGTGATACCATGACACTTTCTGGCCCCGCCCTAAAGAGACTGGCAGCTTCCTCTTCTTATGTTTGAACCTTTACTCTTTGAGCCCTCAGCTACCATGTTAGAAGTGCAGGCACCCTGTGGGAGAGTGCACGTGGAGAGGACCTGGGACTATGTGGAGAACCCAATGTAAGAATGAAATCGGCCGGGCGCAGTGGCTCACATCTATAATCCGAGCACTTTGGGAGGCCGAGATGGGCTGATCACCTGAGGTTGGGAGTTCGAGACCAGCCTGACCAACCATCTCTACTAAAAATACAAAAAATTAGCCGGGCATGGTGGTGCACACCTGTAATTCCAGCTACTCGGGAGGCTAAGGAAGGAGAATCGCTTGAACCCAGGAGGTGGAGGTTGCAGTGAGCCAATATCGCACCATTGCACTGCAGCCTGGGCAACAAGAGTGAAACTCAGTCTCAGAAAAAGAATGAAGTCATCTTGGCTTGGGAGGTTGAGTCAGGAAGGATTGCTTGAGGCCAGGAGTTCCAGATCAGCCTGTGCAACATGGCAAGACCTTGTCTCAAAGAAAAGTGAAGCCATCTTATGTCCTCCAGCCCAGCCTAGCACCAGCTAAATACTACCAAGTGACCCAGTTGATGCTGCATAGTGCAGAAGAATCACCCAATCAAGCTTCATCTGAATTCCTCATCCACAAAACCGTGAAACAGAATAAAATGGTGGTTGTTTTCAGCCACAACATTTTGGGAAGGTTTTTTTTACCTTCCCAGCCATAACCAAAATACTGCTTAACAGCTGAAGACGTGAAGGCTTAGAGAGGTCCTATCTTACCCAAAACCACATTCCTGGTATACAAAGACACTGAGGCTGAACACAGTGGTTCACGACTGTAATCCCAACACTTTGAGAGGCTAAGGCACAGGAGAATCACTTGAGGCCAGAAGTTTGAGACCAGTCTGGGCAACATAGCAAGACCGCATCTCCACAAAAAATGGTGCATTCCTGTAGTCTTACTTGGGAGGCTGAGGCAGGAGGATCGCTTGAGCCCAGGAGTTTGAGGCTGCAGTGAGCTATGATCACACCATTGCACTCTAGCCTGGGCAATGGAGCAAGATTCCAGCTCTATGAAAAAAAAGAAAAGAAAGAAAGACACTGAGATGTGACCCTAGGTCTGTCTGCTCCAGAAGCCGCTCCTTTAACCACTGTGCTTTACTGAGGATGAGCCAGAACTTGTAATGATGATTCGGTTTCAATTTTTCGCTGCTTCTCCCACAGTGAGTGGGAGAAAATAATGGTCCAGGAAATGCACATGACTACAGGGGGCTGCCAGCCTCCGCACAGCGGCCCGCTAAGGCCCCCAGCAACGCTTCTCATTCCACAAGTAATCCCCCAGACTGGTCTTGGCAGCTGGCTGTCCTCTCAGCCCAGCCCTTCTGTTCCTAGGAAAACAGGAGCCCCGAGAGGAGGTGCCATTGGACTGGATTTTTCTTTGTTTTATCTTTTTTGTTGTTGTTGTTACATGGTTTCACGTGTCACCCAGGCTGGAGTGCAGTGGTGTGATCACAGCTGCCTGCAGCCTCAAACTCCCGGGCTCGGGTGACCTTCCCACCTCAGTCTCTAAGTAGCTGGGACCACAGGAGTGCACCACCACGCCCGGCTAGTTTTTGTATTTTTTGTAGAGATGGGGTTTTGCCATGCTGCCCAGGCTAGTCTCAAACTCCTGGGCTCAAGCAATCTGCTCACCTAAGCCTCTCCAAGTGCTGGGAATGCCCAGGGGTGATGGCTCACACCTGTAATCTCAACACCTTGGGAGAATGAGGTAGAAGGATCACTTGAGGCCAGCAGTTCAAGACTAGCCTGGCCAACATGGCAAAACCCTGTCTCTACTAAAAAATACAAAAATTGGCTGGGTATGGTGGCATAGGCCTGTAATCCCAGCTACTCAGGTGGCTGAGGCAAGACAATTGCTTGAACCCGGGAGGTGGAGTTTGCAGCGAACCGAGATTGCACCACTGCACTCCAACCTGGGCAATAGAGCAAGACTCTATCTAAGAAAAAAAGTGCTGGGTTACAAGCATGAGCCACCATGCCTGACTTGTTTTTCTTCTTAAAAAAAAAAAGAAAAAAATATATATATAGAGGGAGAAATATATATATATATTTCTAGAGTCCAGAAATCCTCACAACTCCATGCCACTCCCACCCCCACCCCCCTGGGACAGGCTAGCATCCACATCACAACTGGACAGCTCCCAAGAGTAAAAAGTGGCTGACATAACCGAGAAAAATGTTCTATCTGAGTATGTAAAGGCTTGATGTAAATATATAAGATCAGCCCCCAGATTTCTCTTGATAAGATGTCAGAGGAGATGAACAGTTTACATATGAGGAAAAGCAGACAATAAATCCTCACATGGAAGTGTGCCCAGTCTCACTAGCAATGAAAGAAATGAGAATTAAATAACTGCAAGGTACTATTATGTGCCTATTAAATGGGCAAAACTAAATAAAAATGACAGCATCTTATGTTGTCAGTGCTGTGGGGACAGAGGTAGAGGAGGGTGGCAATTTGGGTCTTCAGATCTCCTTGGAGGTGGCTGAGGCAACACACAGCAATCCAGGTAAAACGGCTCAAACCTTCTGACCTAGAAATTCTGCCTGGGGAACCATATCCCAAGAGGAGACAAAGGCATGAAGATATTTATATCTGTGCTTTTACAATATTTAAAAAAATGGGAAATAACCCAACCACAAGGAATGGCTGAGCAAGCTGTGGCTCGCTGGCACCATGGAATACTACGTAGCTATTCCAAATGACAAGCTGGACTCTGCTCTGCACAAATGTGTGTATCAGATAACCCTGAGAAAAACAAGCAGAACACAAATAGACACGCACACACATCGCAGCCAAGTGTTCTGTGTGTGTGTGATCAAAGATCGAAAGAGAACTTGGTGGGATACTTGAGCTTCATGCTCATTAGTTGCTGTATTCTATAAAAATCACACATCCATTCACAATTTGTACAAGAAGGGGCAAGCCGCCGAGGAAGCACATGCTTCAAATCTCCCCGGCCCCTGGTTCCAGGGCCTGGGGAAGTTCACTCTTTGTTCTAATCTGTTCTTCCTGCTGCCCTCGATATTTCTTATTGTTCAGTCCTCCAGGGAAGCTACAAAGCGTCTCTGTATCCCGCAACCCCACCCCCACTTTGTTTAATACAATATCCCTTCAGAGATAAAATGACAATTCCATTTCCCCATCCCTACTTCACAAGGCTGCCCTGGATTCCTGGACTCAAGCATTCTGCTTCTCGTTAAGAATTTCAAACAGCTCCTCCGAAAGCAGACACTGGCCATGGCCCAACCTTGAAATGAAAAGTGAATCGACTTCTGAAGGCTCCCCCTTCTCTCAGGGTTGCCCGTCCTTGTGGATGTCCTGACAGGGGCAGGCAGAGAGAAGCTATCCACTCAAATTCCATTTTAACACCCATTCTGGATCGGAAGACTATTAAAGGGAGAGCCAGCAGCCTTACACCTTGCTGCTTGTGTGTGTCAGCAATCGCTTCTTGTGTCCTGGGGCAGAGACGCTGAGGATATGAGGCTGAGCTGCTCATCTGATGGCTTGATTGACACTTTACAGACGGGGGTGGGAGAGCCGAGCCAGGGAAGCGGCAAGCTGTACAGATCAGAAATAATGAGAGGACCCGAATCCGGAGAGAGCGAGGAATAAATGAGAAACCTAGGAGTTGGATGGCGAGGGAAACGCTTCTGTTCTCTCTTCCGTGCCCTGCTTTGCCAAGGAGCCTGGGGCAAGGAGGCAGGCAGGCAGACCAGGAAGGGCGCTCTGGACCCATCCTGCCAGCTGCTGGGGCATCTGGGGCATCCAAACGTGCAGGGGATGCCAGCGTGAGAAAACAGACAGCGGCAG